TCCAGGAGTACCTTGTTCCCAAGAGCAGCAACGTCCTTAGACCTGGGCCCTGTGTGCCATCCCTTCTGGCCATGCCACTCCCCAGAAGAAGAGAAGTTCACAGGGCTCAGGAGATATCTCACCTGGAGTGTCTCACCAGCTGGTGTCCATGCCCCCTTACCAGGCTATACTCTATCTAGCTACTAGGACTTCAGGATTCCCTGCCCAAATGGCTTGGGCCTGCATGGGTCTCTTGCCCAGGTACATCCCTTTTAGGGTAGACACTGTCTCCTGCTTACACATCTTCAGGTTTCAGAGGTGGCCAAGGAGAACCTATTAGGTAGGGTGTGGACCAAGCTTGGACATACAGATGGATGTGCCCACGTGCATGCAAGTGAAAGCCCTTTCAGAGCAGGACAGAGCAGGGGTGGTAAACGGTGAGGGGCCTTATTGGTAGTCTGACCTCCGTCCCTACAGGCCTGCCCATGAGTCTGCATGGTAAAGATGCCTGGTGATGTTGCTGTATTTCATGTACTGGCCCCCACTGGCACCTACTGTTGCTTTATCTACCTCTTTCCTCTACCCTGTACCTCTGAGGCAGCTGCTGGGAGCTAGGACTATACTGGGCTGGGCCTGTACTGGTGCTGGTTGGGGGAAGGAGTGGAGGCCCCAGCATCAGCAGTGCCTGGTTTCCTGCAAATATGAACACCGACACATAGAAGAAGGGAGAGTGTGAGTTTGAAGGTACCAATGTGTTTGGGTGACTGTGAGCAAATGAGGTGAGCAAGAAAGGAAGAGTGAAAGAGAAAAGGAGGGTGACCACATGAAAAAGGGTGTGTGCATGAGGGAGAAGAAAAATACCTGTGTGTGCATGTGCACAGGGGTGGGGAAGGCAGTGGGGTAGACACTCAGTGCCCCCACAGTACCTGGGAGCTGTGCACAACTGCGGGTCTGGGAAGAGGACGGAGAATGGAGAGGAAGGGGAGGAGTCTGCCTAGTCATTTTCGAGAGTGTGTGTGAAGAAGGGGTACAGTGCAGGGGAGAGAGAAAGTCACCTAAGGAGGGAACGAGAGAGCAAGCATATCTCCAGGAAGCCTGCGGAGTGGAAGCTGTGGGGTGGAGGGATGGAGCTGAGAGAGGTGAGTGTGCAAGAGGAAGACGTGCAGGTGTGTGAACGTGGAGGTGTGCGTCCGCCCCTGCAGGGCTGTGTGAGACAGGCAGGCCACGTGCCCGGGTGACTGTGCGTGGGTACATGCATGTGCACAGGGAAGCATACGGCCGTGACAAGTGAGCACAAACACGAGTGTGCCAGCGCACACGTGGGGGTGTCCTAGGGGCTGTGAGGCAGCATGCCTGGCCCTGGGGCAGCGGGCGGGGGCAGTGGAGGGTGCCTGCCAAGGGGTGTTGGTGATGCCTGAAGATGTTTCCACCCCAGAAAGCTCTGAGGGGACTGTATGACCTGCCCCTGTTGGCTCAGATCTGGGTGGCCATGGTGGCTGGGAGTGTTGGCCCTGTTGCCTCCATCTGGAGGTGGGTGTGGGAACAAATAAGTCACCAGGCATGGCTGGCCCTCACTCTGCCTCACCTCTGGGCAAGACAGCCAGGAGGGGAGAGAATACTCGAGGGCTGGATTTTTACACCATCATTATGCAACTGCCTGCAGTGCTTGTAGGCTTCCTCTAAAGGCCCAGCACTCTAACCCTCTTGGCCTATACACCTCCATTTCCTTTTGTGTCCCAGTTGTCTTGACAGATATTTGCAGAAGCCTACTCTACACCTGGCTCCAGGTTTACCCTATTCACAATGCCAAACCATCCCCCAGTTCTTTCCCATCCCCCTCTTATTGGCTTTAATTAATTGTCTTCATAGCACTTACCACTACTGGCCACACTATGTGGCATAGCTTTTACTTATTTTTTTTGTTGTCTATTTTTTCCTTAATAGCAAATGTGTGTACAGCACTCGCTATAAGCCAGGCACTGTTCTAAGCTTTCTGTTAACTCACTGAATCCTCTAACAACTCCATACAGTAGTGAATATTGTTCTTGCTATATTGTGAATGAGAGGCCCAGAAAGAATCAGTACTTGCCCATGATCATCCCACTGGAAAGTGGTGGAACCAAGCTAGGGTCCAGAGTCCCTGCTCTTGACCAGCACATAATACTGTCCTGTGAGGGTGGGAAATTTTTTCAGTTTGGATCTCTGCTGCTCAATCTCTAGTGCTTACAACAGTGCCCAGCACGTGTAGGTGCTCAATCAGTAGTGACAGAATGAAGAAATGAGTGAATACCTGCTGGACATGGAGGATGCAGAGATGAAATAGGGAGGTGCTTGCCTTCAGAGAGCTCATGGCCCCATGGAGGAGGCACATAATCACTGCAATCCCCTATCAGGATGGCATTGTGTGAGTCTCGAGGGTCACACAACTTGCTCAGCCTCTGCAAGCAGGACTTCCCAGAGGAAGGACACAGATGGGGACAGGCATAGTGACATTCTCTACCTCCTTTAAACTCCCATCTGGCACAAACACACTTTAACTCTTTTTGCCTTGGTCCACAGGGTGTCAGAAGATGACAGTGGCTCCATGGTGACAACAGAGGCAGAACAAGGTAGTGGTGAGGACACGGGCTACTGAAAGAGACTGCCTGGAGTGAATCCTCCCTCTACCAGCTAAGTGACCTTGGACAGACTGCCTAAGCTCCCTGGACCTTGGTCCTCTCATCTGTAAGATGGGGGTACAAATGACACTGATTTCCTAGGATATGACATGACCAATGCTCCTCTTCTATTCTACACTGGTTGCTGGCTTTTGGGGAGGTATAGGAGAGAATACTGGGATTCAATATATTATGCTTATTACTGCAGCATCTCTACTGTGGCTTCATCTCATTTTGCAGAAGCAACTCAAAGCAGAACTTGTCCATGACCTTTCAGTACAGCAGGGACTGTGTCTATTTTATTTACCACTATATCTCTAGCACCTAGTACAGAACCTGAGACCTAGTAGATGCTCAAGAAGTACTTGAGTGAATGACTGAGGGGTTATTTATTTATTCCCCTCAGGATGCTTGTGAGGATAAATATTCATATCGCTATTGTTTCTATTTACAGATGAAGGACTGGAGCTTCAGCAAGGTTAAGTGAATTGTGCGTAAACACACAGCCTGAAGCAGAACAGGGGGACTCAAATGCTCTTTCTTCCTCCACACCATGCCATTCTCTGGACTTCCATTCATCCTGCCCTATTTTCTGTGGCTTTCTTCTAGCCAGTGGGGCCATCCCTGATTGTAGAGTCATCTCCGAATTCTATGACTCATATCTGAATCACAGAACTGTTTAATACTTGAAGGGGACTTCTGATGTCATCTGGACCTCCCACCCATTGTGGAAATTTCCTCTCCAATGTCTATCTAGCCAGTACTTGAATGCCTCCTGTGACGGAACACTCGTTTCTTCCTCTGGAATTATTGAGATCTATGACTGGACCACTTTTAGAGTCAGAGTTCTATGGGCCAGCAGGCCTGTCTTTAATTTCAATGTGTTGGGATTACGTCATCCTAAGATATACAGAAAAGATCTGCTGTCCTCTCCATAAGGCAGCCATTCAGATATTCAGAGAGTTCTCACATCTTTTCAGAGAATTCTCCTCTTCAAGACAGATGGTGTCCATCTTAGACCATCTCAGCAAGCTGACCAAAGCGTTTTGAGCAATGGCACCCCCTACTGGTTAAGGTATGAACTGCACCAAAGGGCTTCCTCAGGAGCTGGGGCATTGAATGCGGTGTGAATAAAATACCGCTTATTTTGAAGAGTCGTTGTTTTAGATCCATACGTGGTTGTTTCCAGTGTCTCTCTTAAAGAATGTCACGTGAAGACTCCATTCTAAGGTTCCTTGTCGATCATGAGGTCTCTGACAAGCTACAGGTTTGGAGCTTCAAAGTTAGAGTTCAAAAGACTTGTCTTTTAACAAAATGTTCGGAAGGAGAGATGAAAATATATGCTGTGTTATAGGATTATGGTGATTTTTTTCCATCTGTATTTATTTCTAATGTTTTGACAGTTAACCTTTTGTTATAAGAAGGAAAAAAAATAAAAACTATTTTTTTTTTTTTTTCGATGGAGTCTTGCTCTGTTGCCAGGCTGGAGTGCAGAGGCATGATCCTGGCTCACTGCAACCTCTGCCTCCCAGGTTCAAGTGATTCTCTTGCCTCAGCTTCCCAAGCAGCTGGGACTACAGGTGCGTACCACCACGCCAAACTAATTTTTGTATTTTTAATAGGGGGGTTTTATCATGTTGACCAGGATGGTCTCTATCTCTTGACCTTGTGATCTGCCTGCCTCGGCCTCCCAAAGTGCTGGGATTACAGGCATGAGCCACGTGCCTGGCTCACAATAAAAACTTTTATAAAAAAATTAAATAACTCCCCCAACTTCTTCCTTCTGAGGTTGTTTATCATGGCGTGGGTCATGGGGTTACAACTGGGACAAGCTGCCACCCTGTAGGCAAGAGTGCCTTGGTAGTCATCTCCACGGTAGCTGCAATGGCCTGCAAGTGTGGTCAACTGGCCTCGGGCAGCACAGCTTCACCCTCAAGCCGGGCTTTTCAACAGGGACATCAGGTAGTTTCCCACCTCTGCCCCCCAGCCTTGGCTCATGCTGCCTTCAGGTTTTGTTTCCTACCCTTACCTCTTGAAGTCAGCCCAGCACTGAATGGTCACTGGTCATTCCCTAGGAGCCCTGGACTCCCCAGCTCTTCATCCTTCTCTTCACTTCCTAGCACACCCTCAGTTGCTTGCTCTTCCCTCCATGTGAGCCTACAGCAGCTCCACATGCTAACAGGCCAGAATGCATCAGGGATTAGAAAAACAAGCCCCCATTTAAACGATGACCTATGGAGCAGCTGCCTGGTTCTTCTCATGCAAGTTCACAGCTAGCCAGGCTTTACTCCAGCCCCAGCACCAGCCGGGGTATTCTCTCTCCACTCTGAGCTCTGGGAGGACCCAGGGGCTGGGAAGACTCACCCGGTAGCCTCTCACTGCAGCACATGTCCAGGGCCCCTCCCTTGGAGTCATCAGCAGCGTGGTTCTCTCTCTCACTCCTGCAGCAGGATGGAAAAGGTGAGATGATGCTGGTGAGCCAGGATCAAGACAAAAACCCTGAGCAAAGATAAGAAACCTCCCTCTCTTGTATTCTGTATCCCTCTGAATAACCCCACCCCATCAAAGGGACCTGTGGAAAATACCAGACTATTGAGGGGTCAAGCTGCAGAGGCAGGAGCAGAATTTTGCAGGTGTCTTCCTTGTGGAATCAGTGGCAGCAGTACCATCACAACCATCATCACCATCATCACTATCATCATCTCTACCATGGAAGGAAGATTTACTATATGCAAACACTTTGCAAACTTTACCACATTAAATCCTCACCATAAGCCCACGAATGAGGGATCATTAAACAGGCTCAGAGAGGTTAAGTAACTTGCCCAAAGTCACACAGCTAAAGAGAATAGAGAAGAGTTTGAAATTATGGCCTAGGATTCCAGGCTCATGCACTTGCTGCTATGCCACTGTGTGTCCTATTTCCTGCGGCTGCGAACCATAGGTGAACAGGAAGAGGGTTCTGAGTAACCCACGGTCCTGTGTCCAGCTCTCCAAGATGTGCAAATCCCCTCTACTTCAGGCAGTGGAAAGTAGCATGCAGAACTCTTCTCCAGAAATAGCTAGAAAAAGTAGTTATACATATGTTTTGCATAGTCTAAATGTTTCCTTCCTGAAATCAGAAAACCCTCTTTCTAGCCTATCAGAGCACCTTATAGGACAGTATGGGTGTCTAGTTTTGCTTCTTTACCCGGTAAGCTAGAAAAAGGTTGCTGGAGATCAGGTAGACCCCAGGAAGCATCTTTAGAGTAGACATATTTTGAGGGCAACCACTTGGCTCACAGGGGTTCCCCTACCCTGGGAATGGCCTGAAATGCAGCGTGGGCTCCAGTGGCCTTGTCTATCCTTCGTGTCTCTGACCCTTGGTATTAGCTGATGACTGATCCAAGGCTGGACACACAAACCAGCCTGAGTCAATCAAATATTCTCCCTTGCACACTGAAAATGCATTCTGGTGCATTTTGCTGGTGCTGAATTATGGTAGCCACAGTGCCCTGAAGAGAAGACCTGCAAACATCTGCTGCTGAGGGCCTGAGAGCAGATGTTACCATCTCTACTGAGTCTTGATTGGACAATATGTTTATCAAGACCATAAGATGGCCAAGGATCCTTCCAATAAATCCCCACATTTTAGTTTATGCCAGTGGGATGTGATTTCTGAAACTGGCAATCAAAAGAACCGTTGACATAGCCTCTCTAGCATACTTCCAGGAAGTCCAGAGGCTCAGCTGCTTCTCTGCCTGCTTGTCCTCCTATCCTGCTTCTTGGACTGGCCCTGGCACCTATTTCAGGCCCAAATCCGGATTTTAAATAATTAAGTGCAGAGAGGACAGGTTCAGGGTGGCCTTTCTCTCTGTGATAGCTTCTTTTTCAACTGGCATTGTATTACTTCATTTTTTTTGCCTCAACCCAACTGCCAGGGTCTTGGTGAATCACAAGTCCTAGAGCCCAGCACTCCTGCAGAGAGGGGGTCACTATCTTCAATGTAAACGTCTGACTTTAAGTGCTTTCTTTAAATGTCCCTGGAGTCCCCCCACCTTTCTCCCTCCCCATTGTGGTCCCAGCTACTGTCATCGTTGCCTAGATTGCCGTGGCAATATTTTAACTGATTGCTGGCATCCACTCAGGCTGGCCTCCAAAACATTCTCCACCTGGCTCCAATGCTTATGGCATAGATAGGCTGTGCAGTTTACCACCTGCACAACTGGATGTGGAAGTCCCCTCTGCCCCAGGCAATGGAAAGTGACATGGTGAACTCTTCTCGGAACAGAGGAGCTAGAATCAGTTCTTCAAAACTCAACATTTATCACATAACATTTCTCGAAAAAATATTCTCATGGCATCCTTATTGTACTTAGAACAAAGATAAAAATCCTTTGGCATAGTTCACTAGATGTTGGGTGGTCTGGTCCCTGTTGATCCCTGCAGCCTTACCCCTTGCCCCTCTCCCCCTTGACCTCTGCACTCCGGCCACACCGGAAAGGCTCTTTCCTTCACAGTGCCTTGCACATGCTTTTCTCTCTACCTAGAGAGGTTCTCCAGCTGTACTTCTTAGTACTTTTTGCTCATGGTATGTACCTGACACAGTTAGAAATGTCATTTTAATTTATGCCATTATTCAACATCTGTCTCCATCATTAAACTGTAGGTTTCATGAAGGCAGGGTCCACTATTTCTGTTTTATTTACCATTGTATCTTCAAAGCCTTGCACAGTGCCTGGTTTGTAGTAGGGTGTTCAATAAATAAACACTTATGGAATAAGTGAATGTTGACCTGACGTTCTTGAGAAAACATTAGAAACCTCAAGCACAGCCATGATCTGAGCTGCTTTGTGGGCAGGTCTTTGTTAAGTAGCTTGGAGCTCTCCTCTACAGCTGTCATCCACAGAAGTCAGAGAATCACAGATCTGGAAGGCCTCTCATTTTACAGAGGAGAAACTGAGGCAGAGGGTGGGCTCTGACTTGCCCCACATTTCATATTGAGCTGGTGGTGGCCACAGGGATTGTGTTTGAGAGTACCCACCCCCAACCTTCCAATCCTAAACTTGTTCTTTCCTTACCCTAAAGAGCACCCAGTCGGATGGCAGCCCCTGAGGGCAGATCCCTGGCTGGGTACAGAAAGGCATAGTATCCAGATACCTCTGGGAGGGGACCAATGTGTGACTCACACCTGCTTTCACACCTTAAGCCTCTCAGGCCCCAAGCTGTGTTCAGAATAGCTCAGTGCTGCATGTGTGCGGCGGACTCTATAAATAAGCTTCCTAGAAAATGACTAATTTCATAATCAGAAAAGCAGAACGAGTAGCACCTCTTGACTGCAAAGGAAAATGGGGCAAGAGCCTGCTGCTCTTCCCTGAGGTCAAAGGACTCCAGGCAACCCCAGCCAAAACCTGCATGTCCAGACTGTCCAGAGGAGGGTTTAATTAGCTTTCTGGAGAAAATAGATGGCCATTCAGGCTGGATGGAGAACCCAGTCTCTGGGTGCTGCCTTCCTCCCTCCCCACCAAGAGCAGAAATAGCTGCTTGTATTGGATTGCTAAGGTTCCTTCTCTCTCCTTCCCCACTTCTATCAGCCAGGCAACAGGAACATAAGATTGGTCTATGACAAGAGCAGCCATTTGCTGGGCTGCCCACACCACTGCTTCCCTTATAACCAGAGAGCACCAGGGATGGAGGGACTTGGAAATCACCCAGTCTGCCCCCACTTCACTGATGGAGGACATCCCAGAGTGAAAACAGCTTCCCAAAGCCATTGTCTCATTCAACAGGCGTGCACTTTCTGTGAGCAAGGCCTGGAGCTGCCCTGTGAATACAGTGATGAATAATCCAGGCCCCTCCTTGCAGGCTCCCAGTCTTCTCAGAGAGACAGACATGCAGACACAACTGTACCCTGATGCCTGCTTTAACTAAGGTATGCATGTGACCACTTTGGGGAGGGCTCTGCTCATTTGTGGGGAGGGGCAAGAGGTAGAGGAAGTCTTCTCCAAGGGGGAGACAGGAGCTGGTTTTTAAAATATGTTTTTAGGTGGATGAAGTGTTGCAAGGGAAAAGGATTTCTTGAGTAGAGCAAATAGAGCAAGGCATGGAAGCTCAAGATGTAGGGAACATCTGGTGCGATCGGAAGTAGGCTGGTCAGTGGGATGGAGCAGCAGATGGGGGCTAGGTCTCAGTAGAGGCATGTGGGCAAGAAGCAACGCAGAAGCAAGGAATCCTGCCTCCCAGGGGGCGGGGGAAGCCCTCTTCCACTTGACCAGGTGGCTTCCCTGCACTGAGAGTGATGCTGGCTCTTTCGCACCTGACCTGGCTGGGGACGCCTATAACAGGAAGTGGGGAGCAGCAGCTTATGTTTAAGGAATGGACTTTAGACTCAGCTGGTAGCATCTGAACTGGTCTGAAACTACTCTTTTTACTGTGCAAAAATTCCCATAGCATAAAATTCAACATTTTGACCATTTTAAAGAGTACAATTCAGTGGCATTTAATACATTCATAATGTTGTGCAACCATCATAATGATCTGCTTCCAGAATATTTTTGTCACCCCAAAAGAAAATCCTGTACTCATTAAGGAGTCACTCCCTGTCCTCCTCCCCCCAGCCCCTGGCAACCGCGTATCTGCTTTCTGTCTCTATGGCTTTGCCTATTCTGGATATTTCATGTAAATGGAATCAGAAAATATATAGCCTTTTGTGTTTGCTTCTTTCACTTAGCATAATGTTTTCTAGGTTCATCCAAGTCCGAAGCATGCATCAGTACTTCATTCCTTTTTATGGCTGAATAATATTCTACTATAGGATGGATGACATTTTATCTATCTATTCATCAGTTGAACATTTGGGCTGTTTCCACCTTTTGGCTATTTGTGAATAGTGCTTCTATTCACAAACAGTTTGAACCAAACTGTTCTGTTTCTACTCTCCTCCCATCACACTTGTGGTTTTGGGCAATCCTTTCTGCGCTCTGGGTCTGAGGCCTCGCTTATGAGAATAAGGTACCTAGACTCTAAGCCCATTGTAACTTGAATGTCATCACCTTCCTTTGCTTGTTCGTATGTGTGAAGGTAATGAGCTGTGCAGCTATGCCACCAGCGCTGGGTGCTGGAGACCCAGCCTAGACCACCCACCCCATCTTCCAGAAGCTCACGGCCAGTGCAGAAGACACAGAACAGATGCGGCTGTGGGCTGGGTGAAGTGTTCTAACAGACGCACCTCCCCTCTGCCTGGGGAGTGGAGGGGGGATGGGAGGTGCTATTAGGAGACATCCTGGAGTCTCTTAACATGAAGTCGCAGCTTTGCCCAGGACTCATGCAGAGAAAGAGCTGGCAGGTTTGCTGAGCCAGTCAGAGAGCCTGAACCTGATTCTTGGGTGTGAGGCTGAGCCAAGCCCAGCCCTCTCTCCTGGGCTTTGTGCTCCTGGTACCCTGTAAACACCCCTCACTGCTAATGTGGCACTCACACCACCCTCCTAAAGCTCCAACCCCACCCGACATCTGTATTTGCTGAATCAAACTTGTCGGTTCCTCCTGTTGAGCCTTGTTTGTGCTGTTCCCTCAGCCTGGAAGACCCTTTCCTCTTTTGTCAAATCTTACTTGTTCTCCAAGGTGCGGCTTAGGTGGTATGCCTTCCATGGAGCACTTCCTGATCTCTCAGGAAGAACTGCGTCCTCCCACTTCTGGGCTCCCCCACACACCTGGTTCATATATCCTTTTGTCTCTTACTTTGTTCTGCTGCTATAGTTAGCTGTTTATGCACCTGCCTCCCCCACCAGCTTCTGACTTTGGAGCATCCTCACCCCCTCAACCACCTCTGCATCCCAGGTGTTTAGCACAGGGCCCAAGCCTGTTGATGTACACGTTAAAGGCCACATCTAGGGTCGTGGCAGGTAGTCTGCCCTCCTAGAGGGAGCCTCCCAGTTAAAGATGGCCAAACTATATCCAGGAAGAGGCCTATAATGCCATCCAGATTTTTATCAGCATGTTCAGCAGGCAGGAGCAGAGGACACGCTGGCTTCATGGAAACGAATGATCAGGCTGAGCACCTCATGTGCCCCAGAGGATCCAGATGGAGATGGCTTGGCCTCCTCAGTGGGTGGGGTGCAGGGGAACCACGTAAACACTCACTCACCTGGCTCCCTCATAATTCATTCCCAAGGTGTCTGGATGGGGAAGGGTGCCATCTTCCAGGGCAGGAAGCTTTCTCAGCCAAAAGCAAGCTGGAGATATAAATGGAGGAGAGAGGGCAGCTTCAGATCATCCAGATGGGAAAACTGGGACAAAGAGAGATTAAGTGACTAGTCTCGGGTCACACAGTGTGTCAACAATTGTTTTCAGGTACTTAAACTCCCGATTTCCTTTTGTGAGTCACCTTTCTCCTCCCCTGGTACTCTGCTTGCCCCTTGCCACACAGACAGCCCAGAACTAGAGCTCAGTTAGCTGTTATTTGTATCATACCCCAAAGCCTTCTAATAAATATCTTTTCTGCCCAAGTTACTCAGAGTCCTCTTCTGTTGCTGGCAACCAAAGAACCCAGACTGATGCGTGCAGCAAACTCGTGGAATGAATAGGCTCTGAGCCCAGGACTCCCAATGCTTAGTTCACTGCTATTTCCGTCCTGCCAAGCTGCCTACCCTCCCTGCCCAGCTGTCCACTGTCCAGCCATCTGTCCTCACGTCTGAGCAGACTGCAAACTTGGAGTTTTCTGGATCCCAAACACGGGGTCTGAGTGTTCTCTGCTTGGGATGTGCCCAGACAAATGACTTCCCTTCTATCCCTGCTCTTCTCTGAGTGGGAGAAGCAGGGCGTGGGCATGGCAGAGACCCCAGCAAAGCGAAGATGAAAACTACAGGGTAGGCCTAGCCTGCTGAGGGGCTTAGGCAATAGTTGTCCATTTTTCATTTGAGTCTGAATCAGGGACTGGACCATTCATTTGTTCAACCTGTTTGCTAAACACCTACTATGTTCAGGCTACGTGTGGGACCCTGGGAATACAATGAATGACAAACATCTCATGGGGTATGTAGGTAAGAAGAAAAGGCAAGTGTCCTATGTGAGGGGAGGCGAGCAGGGTGCCCTGGAAGTGCCAGCCAGACCCCTAAGGAGGCAGAGGACTCAGGAGAGGTTCGGTTCCCAGGAAGGGCTGTCTCTGATGAGACGTGAAAGAGGAGTGGGGGTGAGAGGCTGTGGGATGAGACAGGAGGGGGTGGGGTGCTCCAGGTAGAAGGAGGGCATGTGGATGGGCCTGGAATTGACAAAAAGCAGGGCATATTCAAGGGCTAGAAAGAAATTTAGCCTAAAAAGGGAGTATGGAAAGGGGATGGGACAATCCACTGAATTGCTCACTTGTAATTTTTTTCTTTATCCCTTCCTTTCTTTCCAGAGAGGTAAGGCGGACCTCTCCCTTGGGAGAGGCAGCTTGGCTGCAGGACTGAAGGCCAAGTTCCTGCAGGAGCTATCCTTCCAGTCTTTGTTCTGTAAAAGCTTGAGCACCTGGGGGGCAAGGTGTCTCTTGGTCAGGGAGGTGGGTATGTAGGAAGGGGAGGGGACCTCGGGGCCTGGGAAGGTGACAGAGCCCATCAGTTCTATGACTGGTGCCTGGTGTTTGTGTGGGTGGTGCCGAGTGCACAGAGAGGGCTGGATCTCAGCCTCCAGGGCTTCCACTGCACCCCACACGGCACCCTCCCCGCAGAAGGCACAGTAAGGGAAAAAATTACAAGGGAGCAATTCAGTAGATTGTCCCATCCCATGCCACACCTTTTCACACTCCCCTTTTAGACTAAATTTCTTTCTACACAGGTGTCTTAGCTATAACCATGTGGTTTCCTTGAAACATCCCTGGTATGGTGGTCACAGCAGTGGGTTGGGGTCCCTCCAGTGATGACTGGGATTGAATTTCCTATCAGGTAGGGATGGTGGGAAGCTCTGAGTCTGGGCTAATTTCATTTAAGAAATACAATGAGACATTTCTTCCATACCTGATATTAAGGATTTAAAAAATCAACCAGCTCTAATAGATTTTTGGCTTGGGAGGCAGGAGACCAGCTAAAAGGTGGGCATGATGATCAGGTAAGAGATGGGCCATCCTGACCTGGGATTGCAGCTGGGGACTGCCCCCTTGCTGGGGACCTGCTCCAGTCACTCTGATTTCAGACTGGAACTGCCTCCTCATCACCCCCTTGACCACGAAGCACAGCCCTCCCTTTGCCCCTTTGCTTAGGCTGTCTCTCCTGCCTGGAAGGCCATCACCTCTTTGCACCCCTCCTTAAAATCCAACTCAGACTTTAAGCTCCAGCTTAATCTTGAATTGCTCTAGGAAGCCTTCCCTGAGGACAGGTCTTCACTCCACTCTAGTAAAACTGTGTGGCTCTGGAAAAGTGTCTTTATCACTTGAAGCCTTACCTTTTTCTCATATGTCTAACACGGATGACAATACCTTCCACACAGGATTGCGGTGAAGATTGCCAGTGAATGAGAGAAAGGTGAATGTTGACTAGCATGGTGACTGGTAAACAGCAGGTGCTAGGGAACTATGCAAACAACTGACAAAGGCATGGCAGAGAAGAGAAATGAGAGTGGTGGTGGTGGGGAAGCAGGTGTAGACAGCGTATAAACTCCTGGGAAAGGGCTGGGAACCTAGCTTCTGGAAAGGGCAAAGGGCTTTGAACATTGCCAAGTTGTCTAGGGCAGCCTTTGGACAAGAGAGGCATCCCAGGACCGTGTGCCTTCCCTTGCTGACAACAGAAAGGCGTTGTTGGGACTGCAGGTGTCTGTGGTCTGGTCCAAAGGTCCAGTATGAACTGAGTTTACCAGCTTCCCCCTGTACTCTGAGGAGGAGGGCGCTAGAGGGAGATTTGAGAAGCCCCATCCTGCCAAATTCCTAGATTGGGTGGGATGGGAGCAGGAGAAACATTCACAGACTCTTTGCTGGCTTTGGCCACCCTGCTGGGACCAAAGTAGCATGGGCTAGCTGTGCAGGCAGCTTCGAGAGAGACCAGGGGCTCATGGCTGATGCCCACATATTCTGTCCTAATTACGTCTTTGGGGTAGAGGGTCAGGAATTCACAGTGATTCAGCTCCAGCTCTGTGGACCCTCGCAGCCTCTTCTCAGGGCCATCCTGGCTTTCTTTTAAAATCTACACTTTTAAAATTTCATGGTCAGGTTGGTGAGGTTGGAAGGGAACAGGGGGAGGTGATCAGAGTGAGGAAGGAAGCAGGAAACAAGGCAGAAGCAATCTTACGGCTACCTGTCCAGGAACATCTTAGATAGCTCCTGACGGATGAAGAAGGTAACAATGACATTTTCACAGCAGAATGGGCAGCTATCACTACAGCACGTGGACCACACAGGCCAGGCATTGCTCCAAGTGCCTTGCATGTCTTAGTAAATTCAATCCTCATAGCGGCCCCTGGAGGCACATACTAGCATTCCCTGCATTTTCTAGAGGAGGAAATGGACATTCAGAAAAGTGAAGTGACCTGCTCAAGGCCACACAGCTAGTCATCACAGAGCTTCCCCCACTGCCTGTATTCCTAACCCCTCTTTCACTTTTTAGTTTTTGACAAAAACAATACTCTGCAAATACAACAGGAAGAGACTGCACATCATGGCAGTTGCTTTCTATATGTTAAGAAATCATCACCATAAATCTATGTGAGTAACATGTGGTGATCCCCATTTTTACAGATAAGAAAACTAAGGCTCAGGGGGTGAAGTGGCCCAAGTGAATGAGTGAAGGAACAAGAGGGAGATCCCTGTGCCTGTGTTCCTGCTCCTGCTTGGGTCCCTGAAGGGGGTCGTTGCCATTCTCCCTAGAAGAATGACTGGGAGTCCTGCGCTGGACCACGACCTCGGCTTTCTCCACTTGAAATGGCAACCCAAGGAGCAGGCCTTGGGAGGCTGGCTTGGGTGGGGAGCCTGTGATGGTGGCAGCTGTGTTCCATCAGTGCTGTGACACATACGCTCACTGGCCCAGGGTCCAGCAGCCCTGGGTTCTAGTCCCAGGCTACTGTGTGACCTTGGGCCAGTCATTTCCTTTATCTGAATCTCAGCAGCCCCAATGAAAACCAAAGGGCCTGAATGAGATGACCTCTAAGGGTCTTTCCTTAGAGGTCAGGCTTCAATTCCGGGCCGGTCAGGGTTTAATGAGGCAGAGGGTGGAATGGCAGTGAACCAGCAGAAGGCACTCACAGCATCAGGGAAACAGGCCTTCGTCCACGGAGGGCAATCTTCAAGCATGGAGGGCGGATCTGGCCTGAGCCAATTATTGACAGAGTCCAGGTTCAGCTGTGATTTGATGCTGTGGATGGTCCTATCTGATAATAAATGGTGCAGTGGTTGGGAGCCCAAAAGATGATCAAAAGGCTGAATTTACTAAGACATGCAAGGCACCTGGAGCAATGCCTGGCCTGTGTGGTCCACGTGCTGTAGTGATAGCTGCCCATTCTGTTGTGAAGATGTCATTGTTACCTTCTTCATCCGTCAGGAGCTATTTTGGAGTTCAGCGGTCATCTGGTCTGATCCTCTCTTCTCTAAGACTCTGAAAACACTCCATTCTGCTCCCTCTCCCTGCACCTGCTCCTAGGTATGCAGTTTAATTTATAGGGAGAAAACAGGCAATCACAAACGAGAAGGCGTGATCACACCTCTCCTGGGTGTGTTCTGGTATTTCCGTTCGGTTACTTGCTTGCTCCTACCTATAATGCCTTGGGATGCACTTTTCCCTCCACTGGAAAATCCCCCTTTTCCTTCCTCTGCTTGGGAAACTCTTATTTGCCTTTTAAGACTCTGTTCAAACATCACCTCCTCAATAGAACCCCCTCCGATTCCCTTAGGAAGAACTGGGTACTCTGTCTTCTGTTCTTACCTCCCCATACGGTCATTATCTGTTGATGCCAGTCTCCCTGCCTCACACGGAGCTACCTGGACATAAACCTGTAGTCTATGATCACCGCAGCTTCCTTTTACTGCCAACTTATTGTGTGCTGGATCCCATGCCAAGCACTGCACATGTATGACATCATTCACTTCTCACTATAACCCTATGAGGTAAACAGTCATCCTCCACTTACACGTGGAGATTGGGACTTGGAGAGACTAAGTCACCTGCTCAAGGTCATACAGTTGGTATGTGGCAGAACCAGGCTTCAGGCTTAGTTTATCTCAACCCAGGCTTTATTTAAATCACTAGGTTTACAGCCTCCAATACGGGACTTTTCT